CTCACCCTAATTGGCGTGAACGTGTCTAAAGATTAAAAACAGACTTTGACCATATGGCGCATACTGTACGAGTTTACCAGCACTGAACCCCCCCCACTCTCAATAGGTTCCCTGAGCCGATAGGTATCCGAAAATACACTGTTTAGGAAAAGACAACATCGACAACAACCACTCAACAACCTCAGCCAGTAATTACCCAGACAACGAATCTCCCGATCACGAAGAGTACCACATACAACTACTCGCAGGTAACCAGTTAGTAGTGTTTCTTTGTAAAGGACAGCAAACCTCAATGGCCTGCTGTTTACAGCAAACTGTGCCATCGCTACCGGCTCCGGTACAGATGAGTCAGTCCAGCTTCACTTCGCATACTGAGAAGGTCAGTGAAGGCTGTGAAGAACTAAATGAGAGAGTTCCTGGCTTTTTTATTTCACACGCATCCAAGGTAGACCGAAAAAAGGCTACAAGACAAGCAGTTCTACTGCTGGCATTGAGGTAGCTGGGAGCAGCGGTAGAGTGTCCAGGCAGCACTCGAATTCTGCACGTCCGCGCCCGAGATAATATTTGGTGTGTTCAGTTGACGCCAGTGGGGGTGCAGACGAGTGATGAATGAGCTTGGTTTCGTTCCTCGCCCCCTCCCAATACCTCAGCGTTCTACTTCTGAAGTTTAATTATAGTCAAAACCGATGATTCAATAACCATGTCGATGCTTTTTACAAGTGCTGCCTCGTTAGGATACGGTACTCCATTTACAAGAAGGCGCGCGTTCGCGGCGAGCCGTCAGCTATGAATCGATATTTTTTTGCGTTAGCGTTTAATGTGTTCGTCAGTCGCCCAATCACTTCATTTCTACTAGAGCGCCGTGCTGTTACGCATAGGAATTTAACTCGGAAAAAGTCATCGTCGCTTTCACGACTCTTTTACGTGAGGGACGATCCGAAGGTAATCTATTTGCAGGCGATCACGCATCGAAACCGCGCGCGTTAGATATGCCCCACTTTTTTCCTGATTTGGTAAAGATAAGGCAAAAAAAAAAAAAGAAAAAAATAAAAAAAAAAAAAAAGTAAAAAAGAAGAAAACAAAAATAAAAAGAAAAAGGGAATTACTCCGTATTAAACCATCGAGTGGTCGAAGAGCGCGGCTCTTCTCTTCACCTCTTACGAGGACATAGGTGCGGCTCACGATAAAGGGAGCACATTGAGAGGCCTGACTCCGCCCATATGACGCGTGTGGAACGTGTCTTCAAGTGCCCCTTCAATCGTGGGCTGAAGATGAATTCGTGCCTTGTCTTAAACAAACAGGGTTACTATCGTGATTTATAATTTATGATTGTACGAGCTCCGAGTGCGCTGGAAAGTAGCTTAAAGAAGTAGTAGTTTCATCAGAATTCTATGTACCTTCCAACCGTTAACTTTCAGAGCACCACCTCGCCTCCACAACCTGCTCCACCAGCTCAATCTAATTACCAGGCACATATGAGCCGGCATAGAGAAGAGGTATCATCGTTCAAAGTCGAGTAGTCGACTCACTTATCGAACAGTTTTAATCTTTCAAAGAAATGTCCACTTCTGTTCTGAAAAGTAAAAATAGCTCCATTGGTTTTAATGGCATGTCCTATATGGGCAAAAGTGTGTCACAGTAGTATACTTCGTGGTGTTCTAATTTATCATCTCCTTCAGACTCATCGCGAAGAGACCAGCCGCCCCGTCTCGCAGCTTAGCCAGTTCAGTGAACAGAAAAGTTTCAAGAGGAACGTCGAAGAGAAGACGGAGACAAGGTAAATATGCTCTATTCTTGTTGTACGTGGAAAAATATGCTTGCGGAATCAGCGCCCTTCCATCGCGCGCGGTCGCGATGTAGCTACCGTCGACAAGGTGCGTTGTTGTTCGAGATTTTATGTGGATAAACGGTCATGGTTACATCCCGGTAATATGAGTAAGCTTCAAAGCACAAGAATTAGTGTAAACGTAAATATTCGGTTGTAGCATTAGTGTTCGCAACCGCGTTGCAACCGCACGCTTCTCCTCTATCCTTTGCGTCTATTAGATTCTTCACATAAACTTCAATATGACCTCATAAGGAAATTATGCTGTCAGAAAGATGAAGGATGCTGAATTTTGGTGGGCTTCTCTAGGAACGATATGTATAATGGCAGTAATTTCAGAACGGTCCCTGGGACGACGACCGTTTATACCTCGGACTCTAACCGCAACTTTTCCACTCAGGATGTCTTCAATAAGAAGGAAGAGATGAACGAAACTCTTCCACTGGGAAGTATCAGCAATACACATGCTAATACTCAGGTATTTCATTGGTATTTTACTGGAGAACTCAAGAAAACATGAGACGATTGGGCACATTTTGGCTTAGGAGGGGGAGGGGAAGGGGCATTTTGCTGACAGTGCTAACTGTCCCTATCTCCCACCTCTGCAATGTGGTTGACACCGTCACCGTCAGAGGGCGGTAAGGCAGATCGCGGCCAAGCTTGGTCGTCAAGGGCAGGTCAATACAGGTTCGTCGTGAGACCCAGCTTTGCAGCTACGCCAACTCGCATACATAAAAGAACTAGCTACTTAGTAAAAATAATCACTGTAACGTGGTTTTCGCAACAAATACTCGATGGGCCTCATCGCAATGCTTACTAGTTGTGGTATTCAGGAGGAATGAAAAGACCGGCGAAACAGTGAGAACAGGATAATCCGGGGAACGGGGGGGGGGGTGTTTTTGTAGCTGGAAGATGATACAGCCCCCTCCCCTTCACTTTCCATCTTATCAGGAGGGATGTAAGGCAGTTTTCAGACTTCGCGTCGTCCCGCTGTAATGCGCTGTAAAGCGGGTCGACGAGCTACAGTCAGCTAGCAACAACTATCCTAGTGCGCCATGCTCCCTCAAAACACAAGTGGCCTGCCCATTGATTGAGCGTTTGCGGACGGGAATTGATCGGCGGCAACCGCTTCTAGCGTCTCTAGCTTTGGAGCGGTGTTGCCATTGTAGCGCGTCGACGCGCGGGACAGCGCGCTACAGTGCGTTGACGCGCGTCTCCTCCACTAATAGCGCAATATCGTACCTTTCGAAAGGTCACATTGACTCCCACACGAGCTTCAGGGAGCATCAGACCAGGTGTCAATCTCTGTGAAAAATAAGTGGTCATTCAATTGCAGGGTGGATATCGAGACCAGCAGGGCCATGACGTCTCTTACAAACGAGAAACGCAGACAGCTGTCGACCCTGGTAAGGAGTACGCTCTACTGAAGGAGGAAGAGAAAAGAGTGGTGGAGACCGATTTGGAGCCCGGTGTAATCTCGAGGTGCGTTTATCCTTTTCCTGCTGCATCTGGCTCACTCACCGTTTCTTGGCGTCATCGAAGTAACTGAGCTCGTGACAGAAAATAGCCCTTGAATTTTGGTGGGCGGGTCAACAACTAGGTAGGCGGTAAAACTGCCACTTATGAGGGCCACAAGCCTCCGTCACTCATTGTGAAGCCGCGAAAGTGTGACAGTCTGAGGGGCTGAGGAGTAGACTACTGAACGACAGGACGCCTGCAAATTGCTTGAGTGAGGGTTGTTATTGAGGCAGGATGACAGTTGGTAGCGTAGAAAAGATCACGAATTTCTGACTATTCATTTCAGGCATGTAACCACGAAATACTACAAGAAGAAAACCGTCACCGATACACCACAACGACAACGACTCCGCAGGTGAACGGT